AGATGAAAGCCAGGTGACCATATATTTATTACCTATTTTTTCTTTTTTTTTTCTTTATTTTTTTCTCTTTTAGTACTTTAGTGGTCAATACTACCATCACAAAGACTCTTTACTGGCTTTTAAACTGTACTTTAATTTTCATTATTCATTTTTAAATTACTAGTATACTTGACACCCTCAATAATCTAGTTCTCCTGGTACCCAGATCTGATGCTGTATAAGGAATCCTAGACTTGTCACTAGACTAACAAACCAATTTTCTTACTCTTTCAGTATAAGCAATGACCTGCAGAGTAAGACAAACTAAAAAAAAAAAAAAAAAAAAATCAACAGGAAATCAAATAAGATGCGCATTTTACTCTAGAACAACATCCACCAGCATTCTCCTACTACACAAATAACACAAGGAAGTTATGCAAACCCACATTTGGCAGGGCTGGGAATGGAGCCCACATCTCAACCACAACAGTCATCCACGCAGCAACCCTACTGCTCAAAATACCAGTGAGACTTAGGTCTCCTGTTTGTACCTTGCACTTTGGTGCTACAGGATCATACGCCTCGTCCATCCACCAACAAAACATGGGTTTCATGGGCAACACTTCATTGCTGTCTAATACAGGTGGGGGTTAGGGAGGGCAAACAAAAGATCATTTCATTCTGTTGTTTTGTTTTTCTCATTCCCTTCTTCACAAAATACTAACACAGCTGAATTTTTATTTTACTTTGTGGTTACTTACTACAGGAAAGAGATATTAAATTAAGAGCTGTGCTGGATGGCCAAGAGTTCAGAATAGAAATTATACAGATAACCCTGATGGCTACAGGGTACCAATGGCTGTAATGGTACAATATGAGGAATTTCACTTTCCATTATTACATTTTATGTTGGGAAAAACACACCACGTCACATATAAAGCAGCTTTAGAACGTGTCATCTATTTTACTCTCACAAAGCACAATGTATAGTAAGATACAGATATTTCATGTTTAAGTCACTTGTACATATGTCAATATTACCATTTTAAATAGGAAAAGTGAGCACTTTTGAACACTGAGAGAGATCTGTGTGATCTTGGGATTCCTTCAAAACGAGTGCTTGTTTGGCTTTAGCATGAGAAGAGCAAGGGACACACTGACAGCAGTCCCAGATAGGATCAGATGTTTATCCCCTCAGCTAAGATCAAGTACAATATGGTTATAAAAACTGCATATTGGATTACTCAAACTATCAGTTTTCCTAGAAAAAAAATAGTATCCTAATAGTCTTAGCTCTAAGAGAAGGAAAAATTGTTCTGATTTTGAACAATCACTTCAATAGTCAGATCTGCAACCTTTAGATCAGTTTTTGACAATGCACTGGTCTTCCCTCCACAGAATTATATTCTTTAAAAATACCTGAGAAGAAATATTCCATTTTCATGATCTTTTAAACTGAACATACATCGTAGGAGTTTTGATTACCAACAGAAATGGCACAATTTACAACAGTAACAGGCCTCCAAATCTTCAAAAAAAAGCCCAAATCAACACTGATTTATAAAATGCAATGCTGAAATGATTTAGTTAGCTAAAACTAACTGCTGAGAAGTACATAAAATTCAAACCAGCCACACTAATCTAATCAGCAAGAGCAGGAAATGTTGAGGATCCCCATTAATGAATATAGATATTAAATGTGTCCATTATCATGCAAGATTTTCCTTTCTGTCAAGTCTCAAAAGCTCAGGATGGTACCAAGAAATAATATTTTTTAAAACATACATATACACACACATATACACTCAGAGAATAGCAAACACCATGCATATAACAGAAATTGTAACCAGTTTGACATATGGGATATGTGTGATTTAAGCCTGATTCATGAAACATGCAACTACAGTTACTCAAGCTTTCTTGGGGAAAGCAGAGGGAGAAGCAATCCCTTCCCTTCTGCTTTTTCCATTAATTGGAGCCTCAGGAGAGTTCACCTTCCAAACAATTAATTTGAACGAAGTTCCTATAAATCAGTTTTGTCTATAAAAAGCTGCACATTTCCATCTTGCAGATAGGGTAAGCCTTTTTGAACCACAGTTTAAGCAGACAGGGATACACTCAATTTGCTCTTTCTCCACAAGATTACAACAGCAGACAGAATACAATACATACTTTCTAAAACTAAACTGAGCCTGTGACTCAAGAGTGGCATCGACAGAGAACAATCTTCTTCCTGAAATAGCCCATTTGCCATCTGTACATCAACTTACAGTTGCACACAGCAACTCATGCTATGAAAGACCACCCATTTCAGAATGTCTATAAATATAACACTATGGTAAAAGACATCATCTGTTTTAAGTATAATGCTTTAATACAGCCCAAACTGGATGCAATATTTAGATATTACCGTAATATCAAACAGTTACCACAGCCTAGCTTTTGGAAGCAAAATACAAAGACTCAACTCACTTAGCTTTAAAAGAGTATTAAGCCAATTGTGATTAATGTTAAAGACAAAATATCATAAAAGCAAGAAGGTAAATTAAGCTGGATGATAACAGAAGGGAAAAAAATACCCACATTTCATCACTAACAACTTTCCTAGATGAATGTCACTGTCACAACAAAGATGTACAACAGCTCTATCTTCAGTTCACTTCTGGGCAAAATTAATTCACAGAACACTGCTAGGTCTCCAGTTACAGAGTCCAGCCCATGCGAAGGCAAGGGAGGATGGAAGGAATCTCAACTATTAGAATACAAACTGCAAAATAATTAGTTGCTCTTGAGAGTGGGAAATGACTCTGCAGAGGCACTGGAGGGACTGAGTCTGGAATTCAAACAACTGTAGTGAAGCACTTGGATAGCAAAGTGGAAAAAAATCCGACACATACACTGGTCTAATACAATCTACAATAGTCAAAACAGTTTATCATAATCCTTCTCTTTTTTAGGAAATATAAATAACTAGGAATACCTACATTTTCTTCACTTTTCCCCTCCTTTTGTCCACAACAATTTTTAACACATAACTCCGGGAAAAAACTTTGGATCTAGACTATGCAGAGATATATTATCTCCAGCCAAGTACATACAACCAACGAAAAACCCAAGGAAAAGAACAAAATGCACACACAGACAGACACAAAGAAAAATCCACTAGGCAGTCTACTTCATTTCTACCAGACAATGGGAAAATTCATATTCTTGTTTAGTCCCAACAAAGAGCATTTAAGGGATAAATGTAAATATAATATTAAATACTTTAGTAGGACTAGGATTGCCATGGTGTGAGCCAGTGCTCCTGCATGATAAGCATCTGCCAATGCTGAAGAAGGTGGTTATGAAAAAATGACATATTTGTCCTGCACGGATTCCAATCACACCTTGAGTGTTACTAGGCTACAATGCACATGCATTCTGTTAAAGGAAGGTGTACAAACAGAATGAAATTAATAAAAAATAAGTAAAACATAAAACCCTCCAGATTCTGACTACTCCACCTACTATACAACTACCTGGCAGTATGAAGTAACTCTCTTCAAAGGCAGCAAGCAACTCCAAGTTTTCCTATTTAAGCACATCTGCTGACTTCCTATTTATTTGCAACTGTTTGACAAAACTTGAGAAAGAACAAAACCCAAAACCACTACAACATACATACTGAAATCCAGCAGAAGTTTTTCTAACATATAATAAAGAAAAAAGCAGAAAGATTTTAAACTTAACTTTGTTTACAAGCTCCATAGCTATGAATGTTAAATCTGACTTTAACACATCAATAATATAGAGAAACAATACTGACAAACCACCTTTTAAAAATAAAAATGGCAATGTGACCAGAGCATACATATGTAGAAGGATACACAGGTAATGCTCTCATAAATAAAGAGAACATTAAAGTATTTTGGTATTATATAATTCATCATACAATCTTGCTTAAGGACATACAAAAATACTGAAAGAGAAAAAAAAGTCCAACCTTATCACACAAAACTTTAGATTTGATAATAAGTTTGCTTGCACAGGGTCCTACTCAAGCTGTTCAAGACTCCCTTATACTGGGATTTTTCAGCTGGCATTGCTCAGCTACAAATTCTGCAGAATGCTTTTAAATGTCAAAATAGACACACCAAACTAAATATTTGCTTTTGGTTTACGTCTTTCCAGAAGAAAGTGTAAACAATTATCACAGTCTTGAATGGGCCGCTAGGTAGCATCTAAATGTTAGCCTTTGTCTTTTAACATCGCTCTTGTTCTGATGCATTTGGAAGAGAAACATAAGGGTCATACAGAGTACATAAAGCGTTAAGCCCTAAATGGTTTGTGTCAGTCTGCTATAACAACCAAAGCAATTCCTAATCCATGTAAAGAGTTTATGCTATATTATCTGGTATAGTGTCAAACATTATAATTCGAATTTTAATAGCAATACAGTAACTGTATGCTGTTCAAATACTGAATTTCACTCAATGGAACAATCTCAGTTGCATTTCAGTACAATTTTTACATCTGCAGTGCTTGAATTTGCAGCACCACAAATAGGACACATAAATGCAATTTCTCATTCTTACTAATATAATCATTAGTCTCCCCTTTTTAAAATACATTATCAAACCTACCTACTGAAACCCCAAACTATTTTCTTATAATTGTTTAATGTATACTATATGCGTCATTCAATTTAAAAAGAAGCAAAGTCTCCACAGCATCACACTTAACCAGTCTAACTTTCTGTAAGTTAGGCTGATGCAACTGTATAAACAAACTTTTCAGTTACCCAAGCACTGCAGAACTAACATTTAGTAACATTTAAAAGAATATAGAACTAGGTCTTGACTATCAGCACAAACCTGCAAAGCTATATTCCTGCTTCCACTATTCAGTGTATGTACAGGCTTTACTCAGTACATAAATTTACAGCTCAAGAATTAGCAGTTTAAAAGTGATTAGTACAGCTAAAGGTTATACCAAAACAAAATTAAAACATATTCAAAGATACTGATGTTTGGTTTTACCTGAAAATTAACATCTTCTTTCTTGAATATTAGTGCTCGAACTTCATCAGGATCTCCATTAAATATAGCTTGAACCAATGGTGGCTGAAACAAATTAAAAACACAGAATAAACCCTCATTTTAGGTTATATGCATTTTTTTATACATAAAAGAAACACAAGATAATGATAAAATATCCCAGGCAGTGAAATAAAGAAACCAGTAACAGTATTTAAAATCAAAGAAATTCCAAATTCTAAAAACCTCAAACACACAGACATAATCTAAGTCAATGAAATATATATATTATATATATTATATATAAAAGGAAAAAAAAAAAAGAGACCAATCACAAGCTTTTAACAGCTCAAAAAGCTGAAAAGAGAACGCTTCATAATAACATTAGAGATGTTCTTACGTGCTGCAAATTCTATATAGCATAAGTAAACAATCCCCTTTTACATTAGCAAGTGACTAAAGTTACTGGAAGTCTATCACCTGTTTAGACAGAGTGGGAAAGCAAAGTGCATCAGATAAGCATGGTAACAAATTCACACAGGCACATCTACTACTAAATATAGCAGGATTTCTTAGTAAGTAAGAAAAGCTGCTGAGGTATGCTAGCAAGATTTAAATCAGTCAGTTGACAAAATAAAATAATTTGAAGGAATAAATTATAGTCCCCAGTGTTGATCATTTCCAGAAAGTCGTACCTTAAACCTAACAGTTACATCAAGATTGTGACTTACGTTAATTTTTATTTTAGCTTAGAATTTCTCTTGCTTAACTATATACTCTATCAGTTCTCAAAAGAAACATAGTATATTATTACAATACAATAATCACATCTGTTCCTAAAGTGCTACTGCATAAATTTATCACTGAAGTGAGGAGTGGAGCAGGGAGAACTCATTTACTTCAAACACATTTCTCCAAGCCTTCTAAAAACTCTCTGCTATTATACAAGACTTGAGACCTGTTATTGCTGCACCACAGATAAGGTTATATGAAAAAGAACAGACCCTTGCAAATATAAATTCTACCACTAAGTTTCAGCTTTTTCCATCCTTAGTATAGGCAGCTTTTACCACCTTGTCTTGTTTCAACATTGTATGTATTCAGCCTAATCTTAGGAAAACAACTATTGGTATTTGCGACAGCATTATAAGCAGGAAATATGCCAACAAAACAACATGCCTTACCAGCACATTTCCAGAGGGCGATGGACGTAAAGATAAATTTTCCTGAGGCAAATTGGAAATAAATGTGGGAGAATCATCTTCCTCCTCCTCCAAAACAACAATACAGACTCGACTCATTCGATCCGTTTGAGTACACAAAAGCAAACAAAAAAATGCCAGCAGTGGTATTTTTGGAACCAGAGCGCAGGTATAGCAATAGGGACCATAGAGGAAACACTTTCACCTGTTTTCGCATGCCCTCACAAACTTGCGAGTGCTACCGCTGGTGTATTTGCATTTAAAAAGGGACATTCCAATCCCCCCTCACACTTCATTTTTCAGATTTAAGCCCCCGAGACGTTCAAGACACTGCTGAAAAAAAAGTTGTTGTTTTTAAAATAAAAATTCCCTAGGCATCAAACCACAACGAAACTGTGGAACAGCTGATAAAAATATCCCAAGATCCAATTCCATTCGAACAGCACTCACTGTCGCACACAGCTGTCCTTTCACGAGCAAATTTGTCTTTGTTAATGTCACAACTTCCACAGCGTCCTTCTACCCCCACAGTGAAATCATTGTTGCAGAAGACACGAGACGGTCCTACCGAGGACAGAACAAGGAACAATTGCCCCGAAAGAGGCGGCCGCAGCTATTCCCCACTCCCGCAAGGTCAGTTTTAAACCAACCGTCGCAGCCTCTCTGGTGACTGGAAATAAACGCGCCCCCTGCTCATCCTGCCGTTCTACAGCTTCCTCTCTCAATGCCAGAAACAGCCCAGCCAGAAAAACGCATCTCGGTTCCAGCAGCTATTCAGGACCTGCTTAGAGGAAAATAATTCTTTCCCATGCAAGAAAAATAGCTGCAACGTGCAGCACGGCTGCAGCACATTTACATGCGATGAGTCAGAGCACAGGGACAATGAACTCCTTGAATAATATTGCCGGTGGAATCCAGCCTCCCCAAACGACAGCAACGCAGCCGGTGTTACTCCGTCAGGGACACAAGCAATGCGGAGCATTCATTCTTCCTTCACCGGGCAGTAGCTGTGGCTTCTCCATCAGGGAATTCACAAGGCAGAAATACTGTTGAGGAGGAATGCTTCAGCAAAACAAGCTAGCTACTGCACACAAAAGCTCAAATTACTGCCTTAGACGACTTCTGCAAAAGCAGTTCATCACTCAAGTGTTTCTTTTGATCACCATGTGAATGCAGTTCCCATGATAGTCTTCATTCAGATTGAGGGGGAGGAAAAAAAAAGAAAAAAAAAATCAGACCCCGTACGTCTTCTCTGAGCCAACTTCTTTATCCGAACATCTGTCACTGCGCCAACCTGATTCTCCTCTTCAGCAAGAGCTTCTGCTTATCAGGTTTTTTTCCTTGACAAATTGAATTATACAATCAGCAAATAGCCTTGCAAAGCTCAAAAAATAACCTGGCTGTCCAAGTCCATAGGAGCAGAGCACAAGCCACTGGCACGGCAGCGTTCCCCCTGAGCAGCAGCCCGGAGAGCAGCGACTGCAGCCTGGCAGGGTGAAATGCCTAGTAATGCTCACATGTCACACTTACCAGAGAACCCAGTCACTGCTCCCAGTGCAACTTCCTCTGGCACGAAAAAAAAAAGCGCCTTTTTCTTTTTTTTCGGGGGGGCAGTCTTTGCAGTTATAGCTGCGCCAGTTTGGTGACTAACACAGCTGAAAACGTAAAAATCCTATAACTGAAGAAAGAGCGACTGTTTAATATTTTCCACTGAAAGCCGCAAAGAAATGTGGTGTACTGGCTCTGCTGACTAACTACAGTTTAGGCAGTAAACAATTCCAGCACTTTAACTGCTTTCATATGGCACCGGTGAGAGCAGCAAAACAGTCCCCACTTAACTCATTGAAGACAAAAATCTCCCCACATAAATCCTCTGAAAATTAAATGAAAAGTAAAATCTTAAAGCAATAGGTTGACTATTAAAAAGCCAAAGATTAATAACCAAACCCACGTTTTTTTGTAACTAGTACAAAGATATCCTTGAAAAAAATGATATTAAGTATAATTTGAATATAACAATATTATTAAAATATACCATAATAAAGTAAAATATAAAGCCCTACAACTTGCTGAATAAATACTTCAGCTTGTGTCTGCCTAAATGGTGCTGGCTTGTGGGTGTATTATGTAAATGGCTTCTGTCAAAGTTGCTGGATAAGCTTCAGTGTTACAGGAACAGAGGGAGGGGTTTTTGCTCCTGCTGTGCAGCATAAAGGGAATTCTGATGTCCTTCAGTGGCTGCTAGGATCAGAATTTGTCAATGGTGAGCAAGTTTATAGCTCTTCAATAAAGTATTTGCACTCGGGTTTCACATATGAAGCCAGGCAGAGAGAAAGACAGGTTTAAATGGTGTGTTAAATGGTTTGGATATAAATAGACATACTGAATTCCCACCTTCGGGGGTCACAGGCAGGAAAAGCTCATATTACCTCTCTTTTGCAATAATGTCTCCAACAGCTCCACTGCAACAAAATTAATTGCTTAAATGCCCTCCTGGTCTCCCCAGTACTTCATGCAGGTGAAGGTTTTTTAAGTGCAAAAGAGCACCTTGGCTAAGGCTCTCTCTGAGCTCAAGACTCCTGGCCTGGTAGAATATAGCATCAGTTTCTGATTCACCATGAAATTTCAGATTAAAATTTCCCAAGTAGCACAATCATCTTTACAAAGATATTCTGTTCATTACATAAAGTCCAGTTGTTTCGAAATTTCATACTTCTGGTCTTCATTACAAAAAAAAAAAACCAATTATTTGTACACTACACTGCTTTGTTCTACCATTCCAACCATTTATTAAAAAGAAATAACACAGAGTCACATGAATACATATGACATGTTCTTCTAGGCCACAGAAGAACCAGTTTTAATAAAAACATGGACATCCTCAAGGCTCAGCTACTGCAACACCCTACTGTCTGCTACACAACACAGCAACCCCACCACAGAAAATAGTTTGCTTTCTCTTTGTGACAAATGTCCTACTGAACAGACACTGTAGCTTATTTGCATAACTAAAGCTTCAATTTTTAAAATAATTAAAAATCAAATTTTAAGTCTACAAGAGAAATACTGACAAAACCCATACTTGGGTGTCATACAATACACACACCCACACACTGGCCAGATAATGGTTTTCCAGCTAAGCCCGTATGTTTACTGTAAATGAAGAGTCAGTACATTTATACAGTAAGCAAAGGCCAAGGGTTCCATATGCTTTTGTTGGAATTACCAATTGGACACATTGCTAGGTAGAGATAATGCCCAATTTATTTCAAATGATCTGAACATCGTCCAGTTTTGACCTAGGCAATTAATGGTCCAAAGTCAGCTAGAAATTCATAGTTAACTTAAAAAAGAACAGGTCTTCACACTCAGTTAATTGTGAAAAAACAGAACATTTTAAACCACTCTGATAATTATTCTAGAAATGTTAAATATTATTAAAATAAAATTAATAGAAACTATTTCCAAAAGCAAGTTAACATATCTATCTTACCTAACATAACACATTTCTGAATGATGACATTACTGCAGCCAAAGAGTTAAAAGCCAATACGTCACAGTTTGCATTAGAAAGAGAACCAACACAACTGAGTCAATATTATATTGATGTCTACAGCAATTTAAACCACATAAGTAAGCAAACAAAAAACCCCTTCTCATGCTACGGCTGTACATCTGCAATTGCTTCCATAATCAAAGGAAAAACCAGTTCTAGAAACATTTAATTTTTGCTCACAACGAACTTGCATTTCCCCCTCCCATTCCCTTCAACCAAAAGTTGTGCCTTCACCTCAATGCAAACACCATCCCCAATCATCTCTTTTTTCAACTGCAAAAAACCATCCAAGGTATCCTCTGGTGTGCAAAGTACAGTTTCTAATGTTACCCAACAGGTAATCTGAAAACTGAAAGCTGTTCACAATTCCACTGAAAGAAACCAAACCAAGGCTTCAATTTTTCAGCAGATTATACAGACTAACAACTTTTAGTGTGGGAGAAGAGGTAATAGTAACAGAGAATGAAAGCAGAGTAGATTCAAGAAGATTAATTTAAGCCTCCTCTCCTCAAACTAATTTAGGACTCATAACAGATCTCTCCAACGGTATGAAGAGTACTGCATCTGAAAAAAAACCCTCTTCAGCTTATATTAATAAAACTTAAAATAACTGAAGACAGTAGGTCATCACCATCCATCTTCTCCAAATGTCACATATTTCCAATAAGAAAGCTTATTAAATTAGTAGTAGCAGGAAAGAAAACTCAAAAATGGACTAAGTTAAAAAAAGAATGACATATTTATTGGGGTTTGAGTGGTGATCTATCTGATAGCCTCCACAATATCTGTTTGCAAAGTAAGATCTCCATACTTAACTCTCAAATTTCAAGGAGTGAAATAAGAATATGCATTTTTGTAAAAAAAAGAAGAAAAAAGTGCAAAAAAAAATCTTGTGTTGACATGATAGCTGCATGCAAATAAAAAATAAAAGTATTGCAACTTTCAAACTGCACTTGCCCTTAAGTAAATCAAGTTCCAACAGTCTTTCATGGGTGCATATAAAGAAAATATACTACAAGAATGCAACCTACAGGTTAAAACACAGATGTCAGCCATGTCTACACCAGACAGAAAAAACATGAACTCTGAATCAGCTAAAAATAGCAACCTCTTCTATAGGTCTGCCCACTTCTCTAGGAATGGATGAGCAGAGATTGTAGCAGCACTGCTGATGACACTAAAAACCTTGCTGAAGCATATTCAATATCAATAAACCTACCCAAATAAAGATTTCTCCCTTGTCAATCAGTATTTATCAAGTTTTTTCTGAGCTGAGATTAATCCAACTGGTTTCATTTAATATTTTCTATAATTAAGGATCTAGGAAAGGAAGGAAATTGTTCTGTCAGCTTCCAGTAAAAATGAAAAAATTCAGAACCAAGGGAGTCTTAAGTATCAGCTCTGCAAGACAAATACCTAATCTGTGGATTTCTTCAGACAACAAAGACTGTTTATAATAGCTACAGCTTAAAGTAAATAGCCATGTCCCAGTATTAGTAGATTTTTATCATGTATAGACAGAGATGAGTGTTCAGCATCACCATGAATCTAAGTTACAATACTTCTAGAATACTTCTCATGAGTCACTCCCCTGAACTTCTCTGCTGTTTCCTTCCCACTCCTGAGGGAATGAGGTGGAGTCAGGAAAGAGAACAGTCTAAAGCAAGAAATTACTACCTTTCTTCCCAATTTTGCTATGTTTATTCCAGAGTATATGCACAGCTGGGATGCAGGAAAAGAAGAACAGTTTTAACCCCTGGACTCCACATTTCTGCTTCCAAGGACAAGCAAAATAGCTCTGCTTGCACCTCCAGATACCATAGGCAGTTCCTATTTCTTATTCTTTGCAAGTATATAGCCTCTGTTAATCTAGAGAACTATTTTACGTAGTCATGTATTATCTCTGAATTAAGACTTTGCAATTAATAAAATCCAATATCTGAATAGCCGTCTCAGCAAAAACTGAGAGACAAATACAAGGAAGAAAAAAAATAAACCAGCATTCATTCTAACTTTTCTCAACTGGAGCAGCATAAGAAAAATTAATAATGCAAAATGTCTGTGATTCAGACAAACTTAATTTATACACTTAAGCAAACTCTAACCTTTGAAAAATACTAAAATACTTCAGAAATATTATCTGATCAAAAAGCAATAAAATATTTTAAAAGTGTTAAAAGTCTGTAAGTAATTTTCTGTTTAAGGCTTCTTGAGCATTTTATATACCTGAACAATATATCTGCAGAGAAACTCTTGGCTGGAGAACCTTACAGCCACCATAGTACAAGATACATTAATACCTTTAAAAAAAATTATCTTTGATATCCAAAATATGGAGTCTAACAATCTGAAAAAAAAAAAAAAGAGAGCTGTGCACAAACCAAAAACCAGAAAAGCAAATACAAGCCCTATTTCTCTTTAAAGAAGGTGAAAATATGAGGGTACTGCATCTTCCATCACTATTTTCTAGCTAGGAGGTCACCCACAACACTTCCCTTTAAGGTCAGATTTAAATTTGTTGGTAGGAGTGGTTTTTTGTGCACTTTTAGCGTACAACCCTGTAATCAAAATCATCAGTGCATTCTTACATTAACAACCAGCACATAAACGATGTCCTCCGATCTGTCTGACTTCAGAGTCTCAAGGTATTTTGTAGAAAAGGCGCATGTGCTCTGGCTGGGGGCTCCTATTCGTCAGATTTATCAGCTGCATACAACAGCAGCCACCTCCCTGTCTTTTGATGGAAACAGAAGGCAGCTATTACACCCAACAGCTTTTCTAAATAACAACCATACAAGTCTGACATTGGTATTGTCAGTCTTGTAAAACTGAACAGAAGTCAAAACAATTCCTGTTTTGGGGAAGAGAGACCACGAAAAGATGTGCTTATCCAAATATATTGTTTATGAATAGTTAAGG